ATTGTTTTGCCTTCAGCATAATCAATTTTTTCAATTTCTTTTGCCAATCTAAGAAAACAAATCTTCAAGAAAATATTCAATAAAATTGGAAGACTGCATTTACATACCGTTTGTGAAAAATTTGATTGATTGTTGCACCACTCGACAATTTTTTTGTTTCAACAGATTCTTGACCGAATGCTCCAATGTCATTTTTGAAATCACTTGTAAGTTGTTGAGTAACACTGTTCAAAAAGATTTATTCAATTCAATTTTATCTACTCGTTTCATGAATTTACTCACCTCAAAATCATATGTCTCATTTCGGTGGAATCGTTCAAATGCAGACCTTTGAATTTGCCAACCTCATCTTCAAATAATGTAATTTTCTTCTGCAGCTCATGCTCCAAATTGGGCATCGATTTTCGAATGTGTTCGGTCAATTCCCGATTCAATACCGTTTGAAGGTGTGAAGCGCCACAACGATCAGCCATGTGATTATAGGATGGACTATTCACAAAGAAATCCATTTATGCCTTCAGTGCGGCCTGAATATCTTTTTTCTCTTCAACGTCACTTTGTGAACGATTCACAACGCTGATATAACCTCGTTGCAATGGAAACAATCGATTTTCTAGAGCGTCTCGAGCGTTGGTGCCCTTATAATATCTAATTTTGTGATCACGCCGATCGTTCGAGTACCGTCCGGATCCACCTCACGTGCCAATTTCAACGCGTCCGAATTGGCCAAATCAATGTTTGCTGGGGTGACCGCCAATATTAAGCATTTTTCTTTGCTTATAAATTGGAGTATCATTGACCTGGTTTGTTCCACAATATCAGGTGGTTGATCACCGATCGGATTTTGGTTATTTACTCACGTTCATAGCGAATTGTTTTTTAAATCGCAACTTTACTGGCCCTTACAAATCATTTCGCATAAAATTCGAGATCCGATCCCCTAGCATAATTTCACGATAGATCATTGAATATGTGAAAAATAAATAAATTGTCCAAAATTAAAACACCGAACTCCTGGACGCTTGTACGTCATAAACCATGTCATAAACAGTTTTTTTTTTCAAATATTGCAATTAGATTTTTCCATTATAAGTCTTATTTTTATTCTCATATATGTAAATGATTGTGTCACACTACGCGAAGAAACAAATGACTACATTGAGTATGTAAAATGTTTGAAATAATAATTTCAAAAAAGTACATTAGCTCTTGAATTAACTAATAACTCACTGTTGTTCTGCCAATTAAATTTGATTGTGTGGTTGTGTTAGTGACACAAAATGTTGCCTCTCTTGATTTTGTATAAAGAAGTTTATTTTGTACAAGAACCGCTCGGGATAAAACTATTTTTGATTTAAAGTGAAGTTCTCCGTCATAATGTTTTATTTTTATAATTACAAGAGCATTGAAAATAAGAAGTAATTAGACAGGGAAAGCAGATCACCAATTTTAGTAAGGTTGGCCACAACAATACTGTGATTTATGTGAATATGAATTCAAATTTGATGTGATTTTGTTAGTTTGTGTTCCAAAAGAAAGTTCACTTGTGCAAAAAATACATACAATGTAATGAGCTAATTTTCAACAAATTTTCTTAGTTTCAATTAATTAATTCTGGAAATCAAAATTACTTAATGTGGCACCGCTTTTTTGTCATCAAAAAATGCCAACGGTTCAAACGTTGAAAACTTTCAAATTGGAGAAATAATGAACTGATTCAACAAAGATTTTATTCCAATAAAAAAAATGTTCTGTCGTGTGGCGATCGTTCCACAAAACTAAAGTCTTGGTTCCGATGATGGAACTTGTCATATCTACAAAGTAGTAGTATTTGTATATCAATACAAGTGCATGAATATATTAAATGAAAAGAGAGACAAAAATAAATAAACTAATATGCTTGGATACGATTTCTTGACGGCAAGGATTCCACATTTGCATCAAGTAAAATGAATCTTATGGATAAGATAATAAGTATAAATCTTATATAAGTATATTATTTTATATGAAAGAGTGTACTTATTAACATGGTTTTATCAAATTTAGCATTGTATGTCACCGAAATTATTACATTTCAGTTTTTGCTTGGAATAAAGTCATCAATTTTAGTTTTCAACTTCAACATGTTTTCCGAAAAGCATCACATTCTTTGTGTTGATAAAAAATGATGAAAGGAAATATTGGAAATCGTATTTATATTGAAAAGTTCTTTTTCTACTCTCAACGCTATCCAGAAATAAACACGAAAATATTTCAATGAGATAAAAACTATTATCAAATTATCTTTATTTATTAAACGAGTTGACATTGAAACATCTCATTCTTATACTAATTTTAACGGATATTCTTGCGGATTTTACGTTTTTTTTTCTTTTATTGTTAATATCCGTTTACGTGGATGGCATTGTGTTTTTTTAATTTCAACTGTAATTGGAGAAAATCTATTTTAGAGAGCTCATTCAAAAGTTCATCAGTGAATATGAAAAAGGTCCGATGTCATTTTAATGCTTGTTATCATTGAAAAGGTTTTAAAAAAAGTTGGAGTGGCTTAAAAAACTATAAAATATCAAGAATTGAATTTTTCTTGTAGAATACGAGTTAAAAAAAAATGAAAAATTAAATTTATGCTTAATTTTAAGCTGATTATCTTCATTTATGCTGCATTTGCTTCTTGATTGTGAATCGCGATCCTTGATGAGTCGCTTAGTTCCATTATTCTGGTAGAAAATGAATTGATTAAAAAACAGTTTTTATTTAATTCGCTCATAAAAATACCATGAACTCTTTATTTTCCGCTTTTGTTTCCAAGTGCATTTGTATGCTCGTACAAATCATCTGTTTGATTTAAAAATGTAAATTTGTTATTCAAATTTAAAAGCTGAAAGGTAAAAATGGATACATACGAATCTTTGCCAACGCATCTTTGCATGCTACAAGCAATTTTGATTGCGAAACATATTTGGCTTTATCCATTTCATTCAGTTTGAGAAGTTTTCCCTGAGAATGACACATTTTACAGTATATATATAAAAATTCAAAGTTATCATTCATTGAAAAATAGCAATACTTACATATTCGGCGACTGGAATAACCGTTGATAAGAAAACTATATCACGGTTGATGTAGTCATTCAATTTCGTTATTATGTAATACGTTATCGCCTTTGGTACCTGATCGTTCATATTTTTCTTAACATTTTCCATGTATAATGTCATTTTGTTATATATATCCCAAACTCCTTCGTGTAGTTCATTTGCATTGATTGGCAACTTTTTTTTATCCTCCCTTTTTCATTCGAAAACCAATATTTTATTAATTATTACTGAAAAATTTGAAACTTGAATCGCATACTTATCCTTGATATCCAAGCGATTTGTGTTTATGTAAGACTTTTCGATTTCAATGAGAACCAAAACTCCTGCTCTAGTTGATTCTGTGTTTTCTTTGATGTATTTGATGATTGTCTCCCTCAGAAACTCACGTAAGTTCAGATAAATTATCTAAAAATCAATCAGTTAGTTGAATTTATACTTTGAATAAACAAATAAGTGAGCATTACTTTTTGAGTACATGTTCGCACGGCCGATATTAATTCATCAATTACCAAATTAATGATAAGTGTGATTGGTGATTTCAATTTATCGATTTGTTTTTTAATGAACTTTTCAAAAGCAGATTGAGGTTGATAAAGACCAACACGAATACCATGTGTATTACGAATCGAAATGTCAATTTCTTTCAATGTGGTTTGTTGTGCATATTCAATTCTTGCAATTTCATTTGCCAACCTAAGAGAAACAACTCTTCATAAAAATATTCAATACAATTGGAAGACTGCATTTACATACCGTTTGTGAAAGATTTGATTGATTTTGGCACCGCTCGACAATTTATCAGTTTCATCTGATTCTTGACCAAATGCTCCAATGTCATTTTTGAAATCGTTCGCAAGGTTTTGAGCAACACTGTTAAAATAAGCAAGATTTGTTCAAATCAGTTTCATCTAGTCGTTTCATGCATTTACTCACCTAAAAATCATATTTCTCATTTCAGTAGTATCTTTCAAATCAAGACCTTTGAATTTACCCACCTCACCTTCTAATATTGTAATTTTCTCTTGCAGTTCTTCCTTAAAAGTTGGCATAGATTTGCAGATATGTTCGTTCAATTCTCGATTTAATGCCGTTTGGAGGTATGATGTGCCACAGCGATCAGAAATGTCATTATAAGATCTCACAAAGAAATCCATTTCTGCCTTCAGTGCAGCTTTAATATCTTTTTTACCTTCAATGTCCATTTGTGAGCGATTAACAACGCCGATATAGCCGCGTTGCAATGGAAACACTCGATTTTCTAGAACGTTACGAGCGTCGGTGCCCTTGTCCATCAAATCAAGTTTTGTGATAACACCGATCGTTCGAGTACCTTCTGGATCCACCTCACGTGCCAATTTCAACGCATCTGAATTGGCCAAATCAGTATTTGCTGGGGTGACCGCCAATATTAAGCAGTTTTTTTGACTTATATATTTGAGAATCATTGCTTTAATTTGATTTTCAATATCGGGCGGTTGATCACCGATCGGAACTTTGGTTATTCCCGGCAAATCAACCAGTGTCAAATTCAATACATGTGGCGAAAAAATCCGCAAATTAATTGGCTCATTAGAAATGCCTTTGTTCGTTCCTGTTGTACGGTCAGTTTCGGCTTCGATTTCCGAACGAATTTCATCAAAATCTTCAAACAGCTTCTCTTGACAATGCAAAAATTGACCATATTCTATAAACAGCAACAATAAAAAATCGTATTTAATCTGAATTTATAATGCCATTATGGACAAAAATTTCTCTTACCTTTTTTTTCATTGGTCAGTTGCAAAACCAATGGACGTCGCGTAACGATACCTGATCCTCGTGGCAAAAAGTCTCTGTGTTTGAATGAAATATCGAATAAGTAAAAAACACTTCTTTGGAAGTTCTCACTG